TGTCCACTTGATCCTATAGAGCCTTCACCACTTCCGCTTTATCATATAGTAGCTCACTGTTCAGAGGAGCGGCAGCAGCTAATCTATCAGCCTGCTCGTTACCTCGCACACCTAAAGTTTTACAACTGGTAAACGTTAATAAGAAGATGATCTCGCAAAAAACCGTCTTATTGCTTAACAATTAGGAGCTCTCGTGAGACTGTATTGACAAGAGAATCATAAGGTTCACTGCTGACTGGCTTTAATAGGTCACAACTGGAAAGAAGTATGCATTCAATGACATTGTTAAAGGTTAGTTGTGTATACTTTACAGGACGTTGCAGAACCAACTCCAGCAGTTATTGGCTTTTGTGGATTTTCTAGGCAAATTTTACGTTTAGTAGTTTGCCATTGCCTACTGAACGGTCAGCCCCCAGTACCACTGTCGAAACCAGCGAAACACAAATCGTCTGCACCAGGGATCGAACCCAGTCCTCCGGTACTACGGAGTGCGTTCGCATTGCTTAAGCCACAGACGCAGTCACATTGAATTCCGGATTATTCAGAGCGATTTAAATAAGAAACGACTCAGGTATCTTGAGCCCCCACCATCCATTCCCTCTCCCCCGTACTTACAGACATTATAAAGGGCACCGCGACCCACCCCATTAATTTACTTGTGTTGGCGACCCTTTGAGAAACACCAGAAATCGGATTAATGATGATAAAGCTGGTCTTACTTTGAAAGATGAGAGCAGATGTACATATATTCTTGACTTGTAAGATAGTTCTGTGGCGTCGTTGATTTCTTTAACATAGCCTTGTTGTTGTGGTTGTTGTTCTTTTTCTTCTTCTTCTTAATATTATTATTATTATTATTATTATTATTATTATTATTATTTCTTCTTCTTCTTCTTCTTCTTCTTCTTCTTCTTCTTCTTCTTCTTCTTCTTCTTCTTCTTCTTCTTCTTCTTCTTCTTCTTCTTCTTCTTCTTTTTCTGCTCTTCTTCTGCTTCTTCTTCTTCTTCTTCTTCTTCTTCTTCTTCTTCTTCTTCTTCTTCTTCTTCTTCTTCTTCTTCTTCTTCTTCTTCTTCTTCTTCTTCTTCTTCTTCTTTTTCTTCTTTTTCTTCTTCTTCTTCTTCTTCTTCTTCTTCTTCTTCTACTTTTTCTTCTTCTTCTTCTTCTTCTTCTTCTTCTTCTTCTTCTTCTTCTTCTTCTTCTTCTTCTTCTTCTTCTTCTTCTTCTTCTTCTTCTTCTTCTTCTTCTTCTTCGTCTGCATCTTTTTCTTTTCTTTTTTAAATTCTCCTTCTCTATTGTCTTCTTCTCATCCTCCTATTTCTACTTCTTCTTTGTCTTCTACTTCTTCTCCTTCCCCCTTTTTTTTTTCTTTATCCTCTCCTGCTACGACCGGCTCCAGCTGGCGGGCCGTGCTGCTGACCTCACCAGGTCGGGCTAACGATGCATTAACGCAGCGTTTCTCAAACTGGGTACCGAGGCGCCCTGGGTTGCCGTGAGCGTATGCCAGGGGTGCCGCGACAATAATCAAGAAAAGTCGGCTTAAAATTGTGAAATGATTAAAGAAGGCATGTAGATACTTAAAAGTTCTAATGTAAGTTGTCTTTTCTCGCCAATGTCGAAAATAGTTTATTTCTTGTTTGAGAACCGCTGTGTCAAAGCGTTGTTAGCCCGACCCGGTGACGTCAGTAGCACAACCCGTCAGCTGGAGCCGGTTGTGTTTGATCCCTGTGCTTCCCATTTTTTTTTTTTTTTGATTTCGCCATTTCAAATCTTATCTATTCATAAATCGGTTGCAACATATTTACAATTTTTGTTGGGGGGGGGGGAGGGGGGGGGGAGGTGCAAACAATACTTGAGTGAAGGAAGTTAACCCCAATCAGGACCCCACAACGAGCGATTAACACCCGGTGAGACAAGGTGCTACCATTCGGAAGATAAACCCCATTCAACTTTTCAAAACGGGGTGGACCTTTACATTTAATTTTAAAACAAATAAAAACAAATTGCGTCCCATATGAGGAGGCAGTAAACAATAACGATGCTTGATTACAACACATTTCAAGTCGTTTAAAAATAATTTACTAGTCACAAAATAATATTATTTATATGCCATGTTGGACATCCTAGTTCAAAGTCAGCCCCATTTCGTAGCTAAACATCAAATATGCTTTTACACAAATATTCTTAACGAATAATTACATTTCACAGTTATATAAATGTTACATTTTTTTTTTAATACAAACAAAATATATTCAGTATGTGGTATCTTTCCTCCAAACATTCACTGTCTACAAACAGTGATATCCTGTTAAACTAATAATATCAATGAATATTTTGTACACGTAAGTGTTTCCCGAGATTGTGTTATGTCATCAAATCCAAACAATCAGCCATAGCTCATATCCCATACTTCTATATCCCATAATTTTTCTCCAGACACATATTGTACAGATATACTTACCTTGCATTTTAAGCCATCTTTGTTCAAAAACTGTATCGTTAGCGTCGTTGGGAAAATCATCATTAATATTATTATTATCATTACTATCATCATCATTACCATCATACTATCATTATCATTATCAGCAATATCATTACCATCATCAGCAGCATTATCATCATCATCACCGGCACCATTATCTCGTAGGGCCGTAATACGCTACACAACATACATGGTTAGCAGTCCATTCCTCCATTCCGCTATATCCTCTGAAGTTGTATCAATGTCTTCTTCGTCTTCGTTTTCTTTTTCTTCTTCTTCTGCTTCTTCTTCTTCTTCTTCTTCTTCTTCTTCTTCTTCGTCTTCGTTTTCTTTTTCTTCTTCTTCTGCTTCTTCTTCTTCTTCTTCTTCTTCTTCTTCTTCTTCTTCTTCTTCTTCTTCTTCTTCTTCTTCTTCTTCTTCTTCTTCTTCTTCTTCTTCTTCTTCTTCATTTTTTTTTTCTTCTTCTTCTTCTTCTTCTTCTTCTTCTTCTTCTTCTTCTTCTTCTTCTTCTTCTTCTTCTTCTTCTTCTCTTCTTCTTCTTCTTTTCTTCTTTCTTCTTTTTCTTCTTCTTTCTTCTTTTTCTTCTTCTTTCTTCTTCTTCTTCTTCTTCTTCTTCTTCTTCTTCTTCTTCTTCTTCTTCTTCTTCTTCTTTTCTTCTTCTTCTTCTTCTTCTTCTTCTTCTTCTTCTTCTTCTTCTTCTTCTTCTTCTTCTTTTCTACTTCTTCTTCTTCTTCTTCTTCTACTTCTTCTTCTTCTTCTTCTTCTGTTCACCGACTGTAAGTACCAGCGGAAAGTCCTGGCTGTTCGTCCATTTGGAGTTTGGCTGTGTGCCAGGGCCTAAGTTTTGCGTGTACATTCGTTTTACTGGCTTACTTGTGTGAAGTTGGTTGTCCCCTACCGCTCGGCAACCTTTTCTACTCCTACGACATGCTTGTTGGGGAGGCAGTGTGTCTATTGTTTTTGCCACAATGAATCCCGAAATCCACACGGGGGAATATCATGGAAATAATCCAGGCCAGCAGTTTTGGCCTCTGTCTTTGGGTTTTTTTTTTTTTTTTTGGACGTCCCCGGCCTCTCGATCCATATTTCTCAGTTAACTGCCAATCTGGTGACTCTCTTGTCGTTCTCTTGTCGTTCTCTTGTCGCTCTCTTGTCGTTTTCCCCTAAGACGTGTCCAGTATTTCCCTTTTTTTTTTCTTTTATCTTTTTTTGTGGACGTAAGTGCCGGTGGTCGTAGGAAGCATTGTTCAATGTTGCATTAAGAATCGACATCACAGCACTCGGGACACATCAATAGGTGCTCAGTCCCATTCTTCAGCAGCAAGCCAAGAGTTCCAATTCCAATCGTACCTCGTTAGAAGCATAGGTGGTTAATCGAGGAAGAGGTGGGTATGTATGTATCTGTAAACATATATTTAGATATATATACTTTGTCAGCAATTTACACACACACACACACACACACACACACACACACACACACACACACACACACATACAAAGCATGCACGCAATGACAAATATTTATATATACTTTCACCATCACGTATGAGCACATATTCTGTTACATAATCCATTAAAATCCAATATCCGTCTCTAAATACACTTTCAAAAATATGGTCATGATATTTTCAGGAAAACTCATTTTTTTTTAAGAAACGTATGTGTATCTATCTTCATTCAGTGAAAATAAATATGTACCGATTACAGCTCAACCACAGTGGTGTAAGTTCTGTCAAATTTCACTTATAAATACACATAAACATCAATATTACATTCACAAATATGTTCTTCAACAACAACAACAAAAATACATGTAAGGGTTTTCCACAGTCTAATAAAGAATATGTCGGATCGTCTTCAATCCACCCACGTAACTGGGTTTATCAATAACAGACTTGCAAACCCGTATTGACAACTGCAAGACAGGCCTGCGTGCTAATTTTTATAATCCTAAAAAAAAAAAAAAAATTTCGTTTGTTCTTTTTAATTTTTCTGCGATTCACTGAGAATCTGGTATTTTTTCACGATCCATTCAAGAGCAGAGGCGTTTAGCTACTACCACTTAATGGATAAAGTTAGTGAAACTACAGTCCAGATTCATAATTTATTCATGAACTTTGTGTTTTCTTAAGTCCGCTGAACCCAATATGTGGCCATGTACTTTACACCCAAAACTCTCACAATAAACGCTCACAAATGCAAGCACACAAGCCACTCACAAACACATATGCTCCCCAAAACCCACTCACATAGTCCTCCCCACAACCCACTCACAAACACATGTGCTTTCCCACAACCACTCACAAACATCTGTGCTCTTCAACAACCCACCCACAAACACATGTGCTACCCCACAACCCACGCACAAACACATGTGCTCTCCAACAACCCACTCACAAAAACATATGCTTCCCCAACAACCCACCCACAAACACATGTGCTTTCCCATAACCCATCCACAAACACATGTGCTCCCCCACAACCCACTCACAAACATATGTGCTCCCCCACAACCCACTCACAAACATATGTGCTCGTCTACAATTCGCTCGCACGTCTTGCACTTCACACTGCAGCACCAGATGAATTTGCACTTACACCGCTCCACGACCTTGACCTGCCGGGTCACGTAACCTCTCCCACAGCACATCAGGTCACACCCGTCTATAGCTTTCGAAGTCTTGTTACAAAATCTCCCGTGGGTCCCCAGCGACCCTGTTTTCCGATCCACTTCACAAAAGTCTGGAGAAGCCTCCAAATAAATTAGATCCTGGTCCGTATGAGGTTTAAACTGTGGGTTCAAAGGAACCAGTTCGTTGGTTTCTGTTACCTTCACCTCTGTGGCTCCATCGAATTTTTCTTTCAGGATGGTACCAACTGTGGAGAAGATGGGCATGGCTTTCCAGCAAGTTCTGAGCTCGCAGGATCCCGACACACCATGGCACTTACAGTCTACTCGCATGTTGTCCTCAATGGCCTGTGGACAAAAGATAGTCAGCATTGTTTAGCAACCCTCAAATTTAGGGGGGAAACTGTTACTACTTCTTCAGCAGCAGAAGACGAAGACGAAGAAGAAGAAAAAGAAGAAGAAGAAGAAGAAGAAGAAGAAGAAGAAGAAGAAGAAGAAGAAGAAGAAGAAGAAGAAGAAGAAGAAGAAGAAGAAGAAGAAGAAGAAGAAGAAGAAGAAGAAGAAGAAGAAGAAGAAGAAGAAGAAGAAGAAGAAGAAGAAGAAGAAAAAGAAGAAGAAGAAGATTATTATAACTTATTCAAACAAGGCTTATGTCCCATGAGCCCTCAACCACCCACGTAAATCTTTCATGAGGTTTAGCACCCCTCCCAATCTTTTCTTGTGTCGACCAGCCCCCAACGTTTTGCTAAGATTGGTTTTTGCTGTAAGGTCGGCTTTCGACACCTCTGTTAAAACCAACGCAAGCCGGCCTGCTGCCAGATCACCAGCAGCTGGGAAATAACCTAGTAAGTAAAGTGAAGGTCCCTTTTCCAAGCTTTTTGGGAATTTGGGCTAGACCTATATTTGTATAAGCCAGTCAGCACTTGGTGGGTAATGCGGTCAGAATCACGCCGGCTGCCTTTACTTCCCATGACTGCACCTGGTACCCACTCAAGCTGGGTCAACATAGGAGTCAAGGTCATTTTTGAAATATTAAAATAACTTATACCTCAGATATTATGATGCGAGTTCACAATGCCTAAGACACAGACGCTCCTGCAACATCAGGTCTCAAATGCAGGTAGGTAGGTAGGTGAGTTGTACCTCCACTAGGACATCACACAAGTGATAAACACTGGGGGACAAAAGTGCCACCATGCGGACGAGGATCACCCGTAGACAGGACCCGGAAACCCCGTTCAGCCGTTAGGCCATATTCATGACCCGGCTATAGTTGGGGACCCCGGCAAAATCCAAGGTGAGGCTTCAAAATAACCACACACATACACACACACACACACACACACACACACACAATGCATCTCGGGGGGGGGGGGGAGGGGGGTCGACATTTTTTAACGGTCTCAAAAGCTGTTCTGTCGGCTTAAAAACGTTAAGCGAAGACGTAAATAAGAGTGACTGCAATCTAGCTACTAACAAGAAGTACTCACTTAAACCAAAAGTTGTAACCAAAGTCTTTATCAGCGGAGTATTAAATAATAACACTATGGCTGAACAGCTCATCCATGGATAGCTTAAGCTAGGGGGCTGCGTGGTCTCGAGGCATGGTGTCTGGTTCAGTCCCTGGAAAAAGCTGAGATTTTTTCACGTGGACTTGAATTTCTAGTAATCCCCCCTGGTCTCTGGGTAGTAAGATCGGACGCCCGTGTGCATTGTTGCGCTCGTCAAAAAACTCATTTGACAGTTGAAAATCGAAAAAGTAGCCTAACGGCGTTGCCCGAGCAAAATTTGGAGTTAAAAGAACTACCGAAAATATTTCAGGCTCGCCGGTGCTACAGAGCCTGTACACTTTGCTGAGCTTCTTCGGACAGACGAGATAGAAGTAGGACGGAGCACTTATTTGTTACACCCGTGTGCCATGAAGTTGATCCGTTATTCAAAACCTCAAAACCTCAAGCTAGCTGTGGTTCAGCGCAGGAAATGGAACAGACACGCGCAAATACAAACGTCTCAACCACAGTCTTTATCAATGGATAAGAGGAAATAAGAACAACTAAAAAAACAACCAATGTCAACGTGAAACTATAAAATACGAACCGTATTTTCCATGTGTAAGAGACCCTGATATAAGACGACCTCTGTGTGGTGTCAATGTGTGTGTGTGTGTGTGTGTGTGTGCGTTTATTATTATTATTATTTTCTTTTATTGTTAGTACAAAATTAGGATTCAAAACTTTTAACAACATTCTTTTAAAAAAATGTGAGAAAACATATCGTCTTAAAAAACAAAAAAAGACCAGTGCATGTACATTCGTCTCGACCACAGTCTTTATCAATGGATAAGAGGGCACGGTCAACATGGAACCATTAAATGCGAACTATATTATTCCGTGTATAAGACGCTCGTGGTATAAGACGACTTCGATGTGTATGTGTGTGTGTGTGTGTGTGTGTGTGTGTGTGTGTGTGTATGTATGTATGTATGTATGTATGTATGTATGTATGTATGTATGTATGTATGTATGTATGTATGTATGTATGTATGTATGTATGTATGTATGTATGTATGTATGTATGTATGTATGTATGTATGTATGTATGTATGTATGTATGTATGAATGTTTTTATGTATGTATGTATGTATGTATGTATGTATGTATGTATGTATGTATGTATGTATGTATGTATGTATGTATGTATGGATGGATGGATGGATGGATGGATGGATGGATGGATGGATGGATGGATGGATGGATGGATGGATGGATGGATGGATGGATGGATGGATGGATGGATGGATGGATGGATGGATGGATGGATGGATGGATGGATGGATGGATGGATGGATGGATGGATGGTTGTATGTATGTTTGAATGAATGTATGTATGTATGTATGTATGTATGTATGTATGTATGTATGTATGTATGTATGTATGTATGTATGTATGTATGTATGTATGTATGTATGTATGTATGTATGTATGTATGTATGTATGTATGTATGTATGTATGTATGTATGTATGTATGTATGTATGTATGTATGTATGTATGTATGTATGTATGTATGTATGTATGTATGTATGTATGTATGTATGTATGTATGTATGTATGTATGTATGTATGTATGTATGTATGTATGTGTGTGTATGTGTGTGTGTATGTGTGTATGTGTGTGTGTGTATGTGTGTATGTATGTGTGTGTATGTATGTATGTATGTATGTATGTATGTATGTATGTATGTATGTATGTATGTATGTATGTATGTATGTATGTATGTATGTATGTATGTATGTATGTATGTATGTATGTATGTATGTATGTATGTATGTATGTATGTATGTATGTATGTATGTATGTATGTATGTATGTATGTATGTATGTATGTATGTGTGTGTGTGTGTGTGTGTGTGTGTGTGTGTGTGTGTATGTATGTATGTATGTATGTATGTATGTATGTATGTAGGTAGGTGGGTAGGTAGGTAGGTAGGTAGGTAGGTAGGTAGGTAGGTAGGTAGGTAGGTAGGTAGGTAGGTAGGTAGGTAGGTAGGTAGGTAGGTAGGTAGGTAGGTAGGTAGGTAGGTAGGTAGGTAGGTAGGTAGGTAGGTAGGTAGGTAGGTAGGTAGGTAGGTAGGTAGGTAGGTAGGTAGGTATGTATGTATGTATGAATGTATGTATGTATTATTTTTTTTATTAATATTTTTATGCTCTTTGTTTTTAACCCAAATTTAGGATTTGAAACTTTGAATCATATTCTTTAAAAATGCGGGTAAACAGATAGTCTGATACACAGAAAATTACAAACATTGAAAGAAAAAAAACTGTCATCAACGGTTATAACTACATAACGTCTTCTGATTGGTATTGTTTCGTAATGTTGCTCCTTCCAATTCCTTCCTTTGAGATGTCTAGTTTGTCTCACTGTGTGGTGTATTGAGTACTTTTGCAAATGTTAAGGCTGCATAACTTTTTTTTTTTAAACTCTTGCTTTTATAATGTCGGTTGGTACGTTCTGTTGTGGTTAAAAGTAAGGCTGCCATATATGAGCCTTTGGTTTCAACACAGCTCATTTCAGAAACTTTCTTATTTTTCACCTTTTACGACATGCTGTAAGCGGGCAGTGGATCTGTTCCTTTCGCCTAAAATCGGGGCGGGAACCTACACTGGATGTTTAGGTTCATTCTGGTACATTATTACAGTTTAGGAAAACATAATGTAAAGGCGTGTTACTTGTATGTAAGAATCTGAACTAAGAATACCTCAACAACGTGAACCGAACATGCCATAGGACTAGGTTGATGTCTATGCATCATTTGCATATCTTCTCCTCCTATTTTGCATATCCCTTCTATATTTTTACCTGGTGATAATTGCCAAGTCTCTGGAGCGTGCGAGACCGGGCCAAGAAGGTCAACCGTACATCACATTCTGGAAACAGAATCGGGGACAGTTCTAATTTGTTTTCCCTTTGTTCGACTTTAAAAAGAACGTAGGAAATGTGTGGAGGTCAGAAGAAATTATAACTAGTACTAATCTTAAGTCTGGTGTAAAATCAGCACTGTTGTGTGGAGAGCAAAACATGGAGAATAACTCTAACAATTACAACAACAACAAACCTACATTCATTCATTAATTAGTGCCTGCGCAGAATAGAGAAATTAAGTGGTATGAAAGAATCACTAATGTTGAGTTTTGGGAAAGGACTAAATAAGTTCCAGTGGTCCAAGAGGTGAAGAAAAGACGTTAGAGTTGGACAGGGCACACACTGAGAAAACATGAGAACAATACAACTAGAATGTCTTTGCACTAAAACCCACAAGACAGAAATAGAGGTAGTCCAGAAAATACAAGGAGGAGGGAGCTAGAGAGAGAAGTTAGAGAGAAAAGGAGATTGGGGCGGGGGGTTGGGGTTCATGTAACAGCACAGGACAGAATGACATCGCATGAGTAGGTTGAGGGCCTATGCTCCATTAGGGGATAGAAGGCAGAAGTAGTTCTTTGTTCGCCATTAAAAGAGCGGTTAGCCCTTGCATCAACATCCTAACACATGGGTCAGACCCACAAGTACTCCATCCTACCATGCAGCAGAAATCCCTGTATGCTATACTGTATGCGGCACGTTTGGATATCGAAAGAAAAGACTAAATGAACCCTATAAGGTTGTTGCGTATCCTTTACAGGACGTTGCAGAACCAACCCTAACAGCCCCTGGTTGTTGTGTGGTTTCTCTAGGCAAAATTACGTCCAGTAGTTTGCCATTGCTTCCTGGACGGTCGGCTTTCTTAATACCACTGTCGAAACCAACGCAAGGCGCATTGCCCGCAGCTGGGATCGAACCTGGCATCCCG